AATGGAAAAGTCACTTTTTAAAAATAATAATAATAATAATAATAATAATCAGATCAATCCCAACTAGTCAAACACTTATTTTTACTAAGATTAATTTGATTTCATTTTAGTAATTTTAAAAACAACAAAATTCGGTAACTTATTTAATTAGCGGGTTAACAATTAAAGTATAGTTTTGATATGGTGTTAGACGTCCCGCAATCAGATATAGTGTTTTCGCTTTTATTATATAAATTTTAATTATATCCTTCAATCATAGAATTTTAATTATAATTTTGAATTTGAATGTTACATATCATGCGGGCGCTAATTGAATTTTAAACCAAGGTTTTAATTTCTCATAAATCATTTTCTTATGTATCTGACTATGAATTTTACTGGCTGTATTATTGATGTTACACAATCATGGGTGTATAATACTTTACTAGGAATTGTTTTCTTCAAAAAAAAGCTCCCCATCCTGAATCACGATCAAAGTTTATTGAATAAAAATAATAGAAGTACTCTTTTTGTGTTAACATTCTCCTAGCAATATTCTTCATGGTCTAGCTAACGATATGTTCTCTAAAGCGTTTAATGTTTTTCTTCTTTTTTAATGTCTTCCTACATGTGTATTTCCCACTACTTGTTGTTATTTTGATGTAAAGCATAAGGTGCCAATAATAGTAAGAAAAGATACATCAACACTTATCTTCACAGTGTCCAGTACCCATTGGAATCACTAACCTCCATAATTTACTTTAAATATTATGCTATCTCTGTTCCAGAAAAATAGTCAATGTTAAGTTTTCATATTATACTGAAAATAATAAAATTCAATATAGATATTTTTAAGCATAATATAAAATTTAATTTGAAATATTTTTGTGGAACAGGAAAAATAATTAACTAAATTTATTATTTTCTTGGATCTGTTGTAAAGATTTTTCTTATTTCCCTTCCGAAAAATTACAAAACTTTCAAATAGTCTAACTATATGATTATTTGTTTATTCCACTGGTAATTATTAATAATAAAAAGGTCACATCAATAAGTATAAAAAGATTCGCTAATAACACTACGCTTAGTACCTACCATTCAGTCTTGAAACCATCCATTGATCACACTAGGGATAATGGTCAATAAATTAAAAGGTCACATAATAAAATCAAATTTCCTGTGATACCATATCAAGATATAAATGAGTTTATGAAAAAAGTAAAAAATAACTACAGAGATAAACCTGGTATTTTAAATAATGATATATGGAGTACCATTTAATACCCATACATAGCTAAGCGTTGACAAGTGATTGTATATTATGCGTACATTTTAAAAGTTAGGGGTTCGATCATCAAAAATATTTTGGTTAACATCAAAAACACCCTCGAGGTTACCTTGATTTCTAAAACCTTCTAATTACTATTTGAAGAAATATAAAAACCATCCATCAATAGATAAGTAAATTATTAAAAGAGTTCTTTAGCAACTGAAAAATGATATATCATATGAAATCAGCCAAGAAAGTGTCAAGAAAACATTTGTACTCCCAACAAATTTTTCAATAATTTTTTAAAAATCTAATAAAATCGAATAGCCACTTCCAAATCTAAAAATCGTTTTTCACAAGTTCCGAAAGTAGCAATCATTTCTAAATTACTGAAGTATCAGAAAGTTAAATAATCCATCGTTCAAATGGATTTTATGAGAGTTTAAAAAAATCACAAAGGGTTTTTTTTGGAGGGGGGAGGGGGTTTAGATATCTTTTTGATACTTTTTTGGCTGACATCATATACATACATCAACTTTCAGTCGCCGAAAAACCCTTTTGATAATTTTCTTACTAATGGAGGGATGTTTATGATATTTTTTTAAATAATAAGGGTGTTTTAAAAAATAAAGTCCACCTCAAGAGTCTTTTTTATATTAATCCAAAAGATTTTAAACGTAATCTATTTTTACTTATTTTAAGCAGCTACCAGTTAAGCCACGTGACAGCTGCACAACAGTTTATTTTCCCCCAAAACTACACTACCAAAAAGAATGTCATTACAAACTAAAATCAAGGATGAAAATAAGTTAAAAGAAAACGTCATTTATTGCAACTCCAAAATCAAATCCATAAATTTTTGTCAAAAGTATGTTGTTACTTCAATGTTCAATCAAATCCATTAACTGTAAAAATTTCCCTTAAGCACTACCCAAATTCAGTCCAGATTCTTCTATACTCAAATTATCCATGTTCAGTTCAACAATTCCTTTCTTTCTCAATTTAAAATGTTAAAATAGCAGCCTAACGGGCGTCGCCCGGGCTGAGAATCTAACTTGAATTAAACTCATTAATTAATGTAACTACTATAACACCTAAAGGTAAAGTTGCTTGAGGAAAGACGGAAATCAAGGTACTCAATGAAATCCTTAACGCCTACGGACTTTATAAAGTCCCTTTTTAAAATATATGAGTACCATGTATATTATATATCTGTGTGTATAGGTATATATAATTAATTACATTTAGCATGTAAACGATCTTTATCTTTTGCGGAAAAAAAAATATGGGAGCTGATATTGGTCAAGAAAGCAAGGAGAACAAGCAAAGATGCCCGTGTTTCTCAAGCTAAAGCAACAATTAATTTGGTCGTGCTAACTTTAGTTTGGGAAAGTTGGTTACAATTGTACATCTGGTCAAAATCATGCCGAGAAAACCTACACTATGTATTTGATTGTGTCCCAAAGCCGGCCATCGTGGTCAATCCACTAAAATATCACAATGAGTGTAATTCAAAAGCTATATAAACTCATTGAATGGTAACAAACTCATTCAAATAAGGATTAGATATGTTTCAATTGTAAAATAATTTCTACATCGAGTGTAATACGAATATGTAATTTTTTTTTATTTGTTTATTTTTTGCTGTGAAATAAGACACAATTAGCTTGATAGACTAGTTAACCCCGAAATAAGGATCAGAAACCTTTATTCCTGTTAAGATGTAATACTCTTTCTGATCCGTCCCATAATTATTATCCAGTGTGTATTTTCATTTCTAGTTTAAATTGTACTAAAAGTGAAATATCAAACTACACAATAATTTTGGGATACGGAGAGTACTAGAAAGTAAGTTGAGTTGCAATAACTTACTTTAATTTGATCTCTAACGTTTCTCAAAATGATTTCTTGATTTTGGATTGTCTTGAACCCTAGGAAAAAATTTGTAATAACAATCTAACTTTTTGGAAAATTTTATGGAGTGTATGTAAAAATCTTTTAGTTAATAAAATCGGGAATGCCCAGCACATATTGTCCTTATTATTATTATTATTATTATTATTATTATTATTATTATTATTATTATTATTATTATTATTTATTTTTAAAGTAAGTTGAGGTGCCAAAATTTCCAAAGTCATGCCAAATGATTGCTCATATTGTTATGTGAATCAAAGATAAATCATTTACTTTCGTTTTTACTACTCAGTAATATTGAAAAGCAAGCCTTTAGGTGCCAAAATGTTTAAAGTATGGGGAAAAATGGAGAAATATTTTTTTTATATTATTAAGCTTAAAAATAAAGCCTTTTCCCCCACCAAAAAGAAAAAGGAAAAAAATAAAACATAAATTAAAAAAAGAAAAAAAAAATACAATACAAAACCTAAGCTGACCCAGCCAGCACAGCAAAGCACAAAACCCAATTCTAAACTTTTATATGCGGCTTCGTTTTTGCACAAACAAGGGTGGAATTGGAACTTTCTCGATCCTAGTTCAATTATTTGTTTTCCGTTCCTTTTATGGATTATTATTTGGTAAACCATACTCTTTTTCAATTCCTGTAATTTCGCCCATTAACTAATCTCTATTGTATCTTTATCTTCCACTTTGGATGGGCAGTTTTTATTCCTACTTTTGTCAAAATATGTAGTATTTTTTATTTTTTTTTGTTTTTCTTCCACCACTCATGCATTCTGTCCCAATCAAATCACGTCAATAATCACAATAATAAAATCATCTCCAAAATAATAAATACCAATAATCTGATTTCTTCAAAGAATTTTATTCATTGACCCCACTTAGATCAATTTTTGTGGTTCAGTCCTTCAGCAATGAGATAATTGTTTATTTATTTTTCTTGGAGAAAAAATGGAATTCTTGATTTTGTGTCATCATTAATCAAACGTTCCTTTACAAAGTAAACACGAGTGGGTTAAGATCAATCTTTGCACTTGTTAGAGAAGATGATATATCATTTATCAACTTTAAAGGAAGATGAAAGAAATGAGTTTCTAAAACATTATTATTTTTTTTCTGTAACTAATTTTTTTGAACTTTCTTTACCCTAAAATTCTGGACATCACTTGTATTACTCTAAATAAATTCAAAAAGAAATCACCTAGTGCACGTCCTAGCTCCCTTAGGATAGGCACAATGATCTCCAAATAATTACTCCCTTTGTTTCAAAATTATTGTTCAGTTTGAGAATTCACTTTTAGTTTATTTTAAACTAGAAATGAAAATCTCAAACTGAATAATAATTATGGGTAGGAGAGTAAAAAGTTTTGGCTCTGTCACGAATTGTTCATAGACTTTGCTTACGATAATCTTCCAAAAAGATTCTATGGCTTTTAATGTCTTTGTTCTGAAGTCATGGTTGAATTTTAATAAACTACTACTATAATTTTTTTGGGTCACCAAAATAATTTTTGGTGGGGGCTTTTCCGATAAAACATTAGTTCATAAATTAAATTAAAGATTTCGATAAAAGTTCTCATCTATAAAACAAAAATAGAGTAGAGTCAAAAAGTGCTAGGAGAGCCTTGGGTTATTCATATTTGACTTGTTAAAATATTTATAATGCAACGAACAAATTACTTACGGTACATTAGAGAATTATACTGTTTTCCATCAAATCAAACTTTTATTTTAAATATACTTGTATTATTTAATCATTCCGAATTCAACCTTTTTTTCCCAGTCCAAATGTTTAAGATACTGAAATTGAAAGAATAAGTAAAGCAAGATAAAAAATAAATAAATTAAAATTTTTTTATTAAAAAGAGAAGAGGGAAGAAGGAAGCCTTGTCAATCGCAATCTTCACAATGAGAGCGACACGTGGCAAATGGTACACGTCAACATATACATTTTCTGGACGTCTCTCTAATCTGCGTGTCTTAAAATGACAGCCGAATTAGTAAATATACACACCTGACCGTAGCTTCCAATTAAATCATTCATATTGTGTTTGTGTTTTTGACCCCTTCAAAACAAAGAAATTCCTTCGGTTCACGGTAAGCACTCTTTCAATTCCATGCTTTTTTCCTCTCTTTTTTTTTTTGCTGTTTTTTCTACGCCGTTTCACACGCAAGTAAGCGTTGTTATCTCATATCTGCGCATATCTGTGCATATACTTTAGAATTTTTGTGGTCAGGAAGATCAATCAGTTTCAGCATCACCATCTTACTGTACCTTCCATTTTTGTGTGATCAATCAATTTTCAGTTTTTTTTTTTTTTCAGATAGAGAAAAAAGATAAAAGACTGAAAAAGAAAGCGACCCTTTTGTTTATCAAGTATGATTTTCAATCCCTTTTGACCATTTTCAATTCTCTGCACTGAATTTTGAGTTTTTGGTTCTGGAAAATTTTGTGCCTTCATGTGGGTTTTTTTTTTTTTTTTTGGCTTTTACTGATTTTAATTGGAGTAAAGACTAGAGAGGAAATTTGCCTACTCCCTTTACTGTTGCTGACACATGGTTCGGCCTTTTTTTTGGCTTGTAGTGAACCCCCGTTTTGCCTAGAAAACTGATAATACGAAGCTGCACTGTGAAACTAACTTCTGTTTTCGAGGTTGAGTACTTGAGTTAATCTCTATATTTGTGTTAATTAACGCTTTTTGTTGCTTCTAATCTTGGGCAGATATTTTATTGGGTTTTGTGAGTCAAGATTGGCTGAGAAGGTTGTGGCTTTATAAGGGGTTGATTGGAAGATGATCGGTGATGAGAGTCTGAACTTATGCTTTGAGAAGCTCATGGTATTTGGTGGTGGAATTTCTAATTATGGTAAAATGGATGGTTCTGGACCTTCTGGTGGGCGAGTGATAACTGAGTGGAAGGATATTCCGGTGGAGTTGCTTTTGAAGATTGTTTCTCTTGTTGATGACGATCGGATTCCTATTGTGGCTTCTGGGGTCTGCAGTGGCTGGAGAGATGCTATATGCTGGGGTCTTACTCATCTAAATCTTTCTTGGTATAGTTTTGGCTTTCATTTTTTCTTGCTGCTTTTGGAGATATTATCGGTTTCCTCTTTTTCTTTTTTGATTTTCAGTGTGAGGGGTTGTTTTCATGAGCTCTGTTTTATGATTGTGGTGTTAGCCATGATTCAAATCGATACTTCCATTTATTCTTGGACTTTGTCTTGTCTATGATTGAGATGAGACTTTTCAAGGGGTTGCACCGCTGAGCCCTGTTTATATATATGATGGGGGTGCCTGATGGAGCATTGGGCAAACCATGCTTTTCTCTTTGTTGTTGTTACCACTATTGTTTTCTGATGGGCTTTCCCTATTCTGGTCTTAGTTTTTTTTATGTATGCTCTCTGTCCAGGGTGTGATTAAAGAAGATTGAAATATTTTATCAGGATCTAAAGTAAAGCTCTATTTTCTGAAATTTCCCAAATCCTTGTTATTTCAGTTGCTTTGTTGAAGAACTTGGAATATGTCATGAAATACTATAGTTATAAGTGGTTGGGAGTTTGTGTTCTAAGATTTTTGTTTTGTTACAACATGATAATATCAAGATAGTCCTCTAAGCTTCAAACTGATACTTTGTGTTTTTTTGGACTCTGTTACCTGTCATGTATCTTGACCTTGTCCCGTATTTTGTCTACCTTTTGTGATGTAATTTTGTTTCTCTTGTTTTGTTTCACCTTTTTCCTGTTTTTGTTCCAGCTAAATTTCGCACTTGTACTCTCCTCAGGTGCAAGAAGAATATGAACAATCTGGTCTTATCTTTGGCTCCAAAGTTCACAAAATTGCAAGTTCTAAATTTACGACAAGACACACCTCAACTGCAAGATGATGCAATAGAGATGATATCTAATTATTGCCGTGACCTGCAAGACCTGGACCTGAGCAAGAGTTTTAAGCTGACAGATTACTCTTTATATGCTCTGGCTCATGGCTTCCCCAATCTTGTTAGGCTTAACATAAGTGGGTGCTCAGCTTTCAGTGACAGTGCACTGGCCTACCTGGCTAGGTTCTGCAGAAAACTGAAATTTTTGAATCTTTGTGGGTGTGTTCGAGGGGCAACCGATACAGCGTTGAAGGTACAGGATCATATGTAAGGCCTGCAATTATGTGTCGCCAGATTATGTCGTTTTTCACCCTCTTATCTATATTTTGCAGGCTCTTGGTTATTATTGTAATCAGCTGCAATCAGTAAATTTGGGATGGTGCGAGAAAATTGGTGATGCTGGGGTAACCAGTTTGGCAAATGGGTGCCCAAATTTAAGAGCCCTAGACTTGTGTGGTTGTGTTCTTATCACTGGTATGTTTCTTTACAAGCCGCGGCTTCTTCTGTTTTTGACAGGGCTTTCTTGGATACAATTGGGCTGATGTAATTGTTTTGTTTCCTTAGTTTCCATCCTTAATGAATATTATTGTTGCATGGTTATCTTGGTAATAGGCTTTACTTCTGAAAATAGATGTGTGAGTTTTGGGGGAGAGCAGTACTTGTTTGAAGTTGTGGTTTCTCCTCGGGACTGTGGGTAACTTTAGGAACTATGCTTATTCTTATTGTGTGTGATTGGGAACAGGTCGGAAAAAATGCATGTGAAAGTTGAGAAAGTTAATTGATGTTGCATTTTCATACTTGAATGATGTTTGTATTGGCCTGTTGGATAATATGATGAAAAGATTCCATTATACTTCGAAGGTAGCACCTCTAATTTCTTCATTTATCCTGTTAAAACCCTTGATCAAAGTACCTCTTGAAACTTCTACTGTATTGCAATTGTTAGTAGCTTTAGCAGTTTGACTATGTTTTTGATGGAATTGTTTGGTTTTGTGTGACATGAAATTTAAGGCTGTGGTTGCTGAGGTTTGCACCGTGAATCGATCCAGTGGAGTTTTTTGATATCTCATAATATGTTTCTTTTTGATTTGGATGCAGATGAAAGCGTGATTGCTTTGGCAACAAACTGTCCTCATCTGAGATCCCTTGGACTCTACTATTGTCAGAACATAACAGACAGGGCAATGTATTCGCTGGCTCAGAGTGGTGTGAAGAACAAGCGTGAAATGTGGGAATCTATGAGGAACCGATATAATGGGGAGGGGCTCGTGAACCTGAACATCAGCCAATGCACAGCCCTTACTCCTCCAGCCGTTCAGGCCGTGTGCGACTCATTTCCAGCCCTCCATACATGTCCAGGGCGACATTCTCTTATAATAAGTGGCTGCCTTAACTTGACGTCTGTTCATTGTGCCTGTGCTGTTCAAGCACACCGCACCTTCCCTGCGATTGCCCACCCAGCTCACTGAACCTCGTCGAGGGATGGGTCTTCTCTGTGCTCCATATGGGAGTGTCATGCAACTTTGTAAATAATCGTCAGAATGTAACCTAATGAGGACATTTGTGGCTTCTTAGCCATTTTCATCTATTTTTCCTAGTAGTTATGTATGTGTGCTACTCCTTTATAACTATGGATTTCATGTTGTTGAACCTAAACCCCATGTCTCTGTTCCAGAAATTCCGATGATGGCAGGTTAGGGCACTACAGGCTACGATATGTTAGTGACCACAGATTGCAAGCTTCGAAGTTGGAAGAGAACTTCCGAATAAAATCACTAGCTCTTGGAACGAGAACCTGCCACTATCGCAGAACGATAATAAATTTTTACTCCAATCGGATTGTGGCTTGCACAAGAGTTTATCGAGCTTTTAAAGGTCAGAACTACACTGCAGCGATGTACCACAGGAGAAAAGCGCAATCAATTTGTGAGTATATATACCATTAGGAATGGATCCTAAAATTGGACAAAAACATACGGAACTGACGGCTTGCGCCTCTTTGTTTTTCCAACAAGATAAAAGAGTTCAAATTTTATCTGCTTAAATGGAGAAACTATAGCAGAAGGCTGGAACGTGCGGATCTCTATCCAATCTTCTGCTTTTATTTGCCTTTGTACACAATCTCTTCATCATCCACATCAAAGGCTGGATTACATAGACACCTGAAGAGCCTCCCAATCCCCTGCAAAAAAACGGAAGGGAGATCTAAGACTGCAGACAGTACTTTTAAGTTGCACTGAAAATGCAAGCCAAAAGAAACCTTAACTTGGGTATTGCAAATTATACTCAAGAACAAAAGGGTCTAGCAGTCTAGGAAGGGTGATCGAAAACTGTGGACAGTCCTTTTAAGCTGCACTGATAATGCAAGCCAAAAAAGAACCTTAAATTGGGTTATTGCAAATTGTGTTCAGAGAAATAAGTGTCGAAGACTTCAAAATCATCCAAACCATGTAAATCACCTCGTGAAAGACTTTGAACTGAGTATGAAAGTTTCAACCCGCATGACTTGGATTTACAGGTTGATTTGGAATATGAAAGTTGCAACCTAAGATGGGAGGATAACTGATGATCGTTGTCTTCACAGAAGGATAGGGGAAAACCGTACCTGTGTTAGCATAGGGGTTCTGTAATTGAGTGACCTTGGCGATTCCTCGTCATCACTGCTATCAGAACTGCTATCATCCACATGCACATTAGAACTACTGCAGTTCTTTTTCGACGTTCCACCGTTGCGTTTATACTTTTCATTCTGCAACAGAGATGCAAAATTAAGATGCAAACAACAAACTACAGATGAAGTAGACAGAGACTCTACAAAATGTGGCGTCCTGATTGTTTGAATATGGATGATTTCCTGAGAAACCATAGGGAACTCAACCCAAGGGAGAAGTTTTTAAGAGGTTCATCTGAACTGAATCTCACCTGAAATATTTTTCCTAAGATTTTTAATGCCACAGCTCGAGATTTGAGATCTTCTTTCCTCACATTGGTTTCTTGAAGAACCTACCAATTCAGCAAGAAAAATATAAGTATGAAACAGAAGATAATCATATTTGATGAAGAGGGAAAAAAAAATGCCAGCACATAAATCCCCTACCATCTGACAGACATGTAAGAGGGTCACTTCGATGTCTACTACGTTTAGTTTCCAAACTGAACTCATGAGTACATTCTTGTTCAATCTTAAATGAGTTTCAATGTCGTTTTCTGGTGCACAGCCATCCGTTTTAAACTGTCGACGCACATCTTCTTGAAGTTGCAGCAGCTGAAAAGCACCTGGATACACATGTTCTAAGTGATCAGTATGATGCAATGGCAAAGATTTGAGATGGAACAGAGATTTGGCAATACCTTTCGCTGCAGTAAGCTGTGATTTCCAGAAGTGCCCTTTATGTCTTACCCATTCAGCCACAAATGGCATTCCTAGATAGATTGCTTTCTTTCCAAGTTCTTGTGCAGCCTGTCTGGTGTATACATATCCAATGGTGTGCAAAATTTCCGCTCCAAAAGCTGTGATTTCCACAAGTAAGAACCATTGAATGAACAGTAAAAGTTTCGGTTAGAGAAATGTTTAGTTTATAGGAAACAGGAAACAACACGTTTCGCAACGATGCAGAATCAGGCTGTTGCATAACTACAATCACATTTGGTGCAGGAAACAGAACCAGTGAAATGAACAACGGGTTGACTCTGCTAGATACACGATTCAGATGTACTGAGACTAAACCATATGGCTCTGCTTCAAAGTCATCGGTTTCGTGTTTTGATTGGAAGAACATCCAAGAACTATCAACTTGTAATTTTTTTTTTTTAAGTGTTGATTGCATCCTGAAGTGATTTTCCCTTCCAAACTGGTTTGTAAAATATAACATAAACTATAGGAAAGGAAAGTGTTTACATGTTTCAGCACCTTTCTTTGTTTTTCAATTCTCAACGTTTTGTTCCTTATCATTTGTGATGGTTTTTTCATCCTCGTGCACCCTTTAGAAGGTTTGAGCATTTCATCCATGACCAATTGGCAATGGATGGAGAGATCTAACTGTCGCATGTATGGTTTTTGTTGTTCAGCAAACAGTTTTTTTGGGAAAACTTATGCAACTAAAAGTATTTCATGTCATATTCTGGACAAAAATTGAAGAATTCTCATGAGAAAGAGGTAGCAGAGTAATTAATGGGGTAATCGGAAACAATGAAGCATGTAGAAGAATGCTCAGCCTTTTCAATCTACATTATACTTCATATCTAATAAGTAGTCCATCTTGTTGTGGCCTGGATATCTTCATGTAGAAGAATGTTCAGCAGTTTCTATCTACATTATACTTTACATTTAGTCCATCGTAGACTAGATAATGATGGTGACTATGAAAGTTAGTTCTCGCACACCATAGCAATATTAGTATATTACAACCTCAAAAGCAGCAGCAGACATGTTACCAGTTCTTTCACATGAAAATCAAAGCTCATCTGGTTTTATCTTAGAGAATGTGATTCTTGTATGCAAGATCAATTACTTCTTACAACCTTTAAAATTTTTTTCTAAGTCTTTCTGCATAAAGTATCTGTTTAGCTCTTTTCCTTCAACATAAATAAATTCAGCAAAATAATTTTTTTCAAAAGATTGTATCCTGCACAATGTCTAAGCACATTTAAAAACTTGATGAAATCCAGTCAGGAAATTAACTCCGAAAGGTGAAGAAATTTGTCTGCAGCAGCTAACTTTTAACAAGACATTTTTTAAGTGTAGTTCAATCACCTGCACGTGATAGTCTCTCTGCTTCAGATTCAGCATGTTGTATGAAGCCTTCTCTGTCACCTCGTACATACCGGTAAAGAAAATCTTTGAGCTTCCTTGCAAGTTTTTCCTCCCTATCTCTTTGAACAGCCTTTATTACCAAATTAATCAGGATAAGATGTCAGCTACGATTTTTTCTATCTGACCAAAAAATGTTCAGTTACCCTTTATATGAAATCAAAGATAACCACTTGCCTTAAGCCTGTCGTGTACTTTTTCGGGATTTTCATTGTCATCGGGAAATTCAGATGAAGCCATGGATGCAACAGCTAGATGTCCTATAAAGTCCTCAAAGAGTTCACTTCCAAAAAGTAGTGCAAATACAGCAGTTGGATCAAGCATGGTCTCCCTAAGAAAATAAATATAACAACAGTTAGATAAGTATCTCTCCAAGTAAGCAATCAGGGAAATGGCTTTAGTCTTGCAGATAGCAACATTCAGAACCATAAACTCTAGTTACAGATGAATCAAAATTTAAAGATAAAAATTTGAAGGACATTAACCAATCTTTAACCAAAACAAGGGCAAAAATTAGCTGTTAGAAGTGTTTGAAGTCTCAAACCAATATTTTAAAGTTAAACAAAAAGATCTTATTGTTTTGCAAGATGAAACTGACATTAGGATAAACCAGAAAATAACTTTACAAAATGACTAAGCAAATTGAAATTCAAAATGACCTCAGTTTTGGATTTATTGTCTTCAGTATTTACATTGTACCTTCCAATATACGACCCTTTTTAGGACATTCTGAGATAGATCTGTGCCTTGGCATTTTTAATAAATTAAGTGTGCCAAGAAACAACAGCAAGGATATTCAATGATCAACTTTAGAGTCATTTGAATACATAACCAAACAACACTTGGTTTCTGCAACTAAGAGGTTTACCTGGAAACAGAATTTTTCCCAGTGCGATCATATGCATCTCTTTGAATTGGATCACTTAAAACCTGATATGCTTCGCCTAATTGCTGCCCAAGTGGAAAGACAATATGAATTCGAAAAATAAGACATGAAGGCTGAAGCTACTGCACATCAGAGTTCTAAACTTAATTATCAGAATCCTCTGGCATCTCATTCATTCCTCAATCACTTAGCACTGAAATGGACCCAAAAAGAAAAAGAAGAAGAAAACAGCAAAAACTAAGTACTGATATAACTATTTCTTGCCTGAAATCTTTCAGCAGCCTGAGGATCATTAGGATTTTTGTCAGGATGAACTTGCCTTGCCTGTCAACAAAGATAGAAAAACTTCTCTGAATTCAACCCTTAATACACATAACATAAGATAAAAAACTGTCAAATCATCAAGATGATCATAGTTACAAATATCCTTATACCTTGATATAGTAAGCTTTTCGAATTTCTTCTTCCGATGCAAAAGGGCTCACCCCAAGAATATCATAATATTCAGTTTCCTTCACCATTTTTCTGACACTACAACTATGAAGTTTTCCACCTTTAACGACTGAAATGCTCCGAAATGTAAAAGGGATGATCTTGATCTAGAAAAGCAGCAAGAAGATTAAGGTAAAAAGGAAGAGAAAGAATTGGGAGCATGTGTACACCAAGTGGGAATATGGGGGAAGTTGGCCACATTGAATGACCCCTCATGAGGCTTATTTTTTTTCTGGTATTGCCTTTACAGTTCTCTCACGCAAATAAACAAACACTTTCTTGAACTGCTTTTTTTCGCGGGAGAAAACAGTACTATTATAAAAGAACTCCCAGCTTTGTGGCGCTGATGATTAGTACAACTTGGTGTTTATGACTATCATCTGAATTTGCTTTTTTTTTAAGCCTTTACAATAAGTTAATGCTCTTTGTGCCCCAAATAAATGTACTTTAACAGAACATTTTGTGTCAGATTGTTTTCTTTGTGGTCCTCTTTTGATTTGGATAGCTAAAGATTGATGAACATGTTCTTTCTAAATTGTAAGTTCTTTTTCCTCCAAATGTGTTGTTATTCTTTTACATGATAGAGTATATCAACAAATGAATGCCGTTTCACCTAATATATTTTAATCAGAAAAAAAAATGTTAAAAGTATATTTTCACGTTCGTATCGTTCTCTTGATTGTTAGGAAATATTTTTTAGATTTTTTTATCAATGAAAAATACGTACTAGGTGAAACTTTTAAAACAAATCAAAATGAATTATATTAATGAGTGGAGGGAGTATGTGTTGTAAGCTTGGAGCTCCTTATATTAAAGCACCCTTAATCCTAATGATGATTTTTGTGACCACAAGTACAATTGATGTGGGTAATTTAATTTCGAATTTTGTAGAACACTCAAAACAATATTGCTATCATTTTATCTTGAATATAAGATCTAACTGTCTTCAGGTGTTTGAGATGTGCAAGTATAGAGTTATTATTATTTTTATTTTTATTTTTTAACTTCATCGAGATAATTACTTTTCACGAATAGACAAACAAATGGTAAGACATCCGTTTTCATTAGATCACACGAAATGAAAATTAGCAAGGATTCTTTTGGAAAATTTAACAAAAGTACATGAAAATCCTTAACAGTACACAAAATGATTAGTAGTACCATAATTTTATTCCAAGCTGTGTACCTTAGGCATTTTTTTTAAAAAAAAATAGTTGAATCATTTCATTAAAGAGTAAAAGAAAGAAAAACGGTTGAAAGTACAAATCACGACAGTAACTAACTTTTAACAGCCGGTTAAGGAGAAAAAAAATCTACCGACTGCCGCGTCTAAGACAGTTAAACTTAGATTCAGGATCGAATATGAAATTGACTCGTATTTCTGCAGTTGTTCTAACTTCCTTTTTGCTCAAATTTTTGTACTGAATCCAATAATCCATTCCGATTATTTTTAATAAACAACAAAATAATCAACCCCTTTTCTCCTTCTTCCTGGTTCTCTGTTTCTGTGATTTTTTTTCCTTTCCCGGTGAATGGGGCGATCATGAACGGTAAAAAGGAAGAAGAAGATCAAAATCAGGAGAATCGGAATGAATATTCCACTTCTTCTCCTGCCGGAAAGCCGCCCTCGCAGGATGCTGCGGCGAACCCGCCTTCTCGGAAGGGTCTCAATTTTCTGATTCCGGTTAGGGATCCGGACGCTGTACATAGTGGTGGGGGTATAAGGTATATTCCGTTTTATTCGTTCATTTATATGTATTCTGGGAGTGTTTGGGATTAAATTTTGGGAGTTTAATTTCTTTAGTTTCACTGATTTGGGAGTTTGGGGTGTGGAAATGGTGCAAATTTAGGCATAAGGAGTTGTTGATTTGGGTTTCTGCAGAAATGATGAAAAATCATTTGGTGACTCTAATTTAGAGCACTGTCTAAATGTGATTTCAGGAAATTTTCAGCTAGTTTTGCTGTGTTAGCCTGTTTGCCGAGGGGGTTATAGTTTTATTCCTCTTGGGATCATTGAACTTGAATACAGAGTGATTACACAATATTTGTGGTTATAGTACAAATTTATTTTGTCAGACTTCAATTTTCATCTTTGGAGACTTTCTGCAATGGGTGTGCTATTCTAATTCAGTAGTTAAAATTTAGGTGAAGCATGTTGGCAGGATTTTTCTTGTTATGCATAGAAGCTACTATTTCCGTTCTGAACACTCTTAGTACCAATCGCTCTCACGGATCACTAATGAAAAGCTTTTGAATAACATGTATACAGTTAATTGATTATCAAAACTGTATGATATGTGATCTCGTCCAATGTGATAGCTGTAATTCATAAACTTTGGGGGCTGAACTAGTTCCTGCTTAATGTTTTTAAAATCGAATGAAATGCTTGAGAAAAATTGAGAACTTTATCAATTCTTGCTGTTGTCTACAATGGTGCCATTATATCCCCTGTGGAGATTTCAGAGATAAAGTTGCAAAAAAGAACAAGATAATGTTCTTTGTTTCAGGGCATGTGTCATGTGCAGTCTTGAAGTCTGAAGACAGATACAACTTGGTGCATTTGTTGACACCAATACTTGATAAAAATGCTGGTGATAGTTACCTGTTAAGTTCGAAGAAGAAAATTTAATTCGTTATAGTTTAATTAGTAGACCCCAACCTAGTTGGGAATATACTAGGTATGTTGTTGTTGTATAGTTTAAGTAGTGCACATTGTAACATTTCTCATCATTTTTGCAATTATTGTCATTCCCACTAATAGGAAAGCTCTTCTTTGTGCTGTGGTAGCTTACAGCAGTGATGGAATTCTTGTGGTAAACCTTTCTTTGCCCTCATTTACAGCTTCCTCGCTGGGAACCAGAATGGAAAGTTTAGCTATGGATATTCTAGTTTTAAAGGAAAACGAGCATCAATGGAGGATTACTACGAGACAAGGATTTCGGAAGTTGATGGGCAAATGGTTGCATTTTTTGGTGTTTTTGATGGTATGCTGAATAGTTTATCATTCTACTGTATATTAGTATCAGAGCGTTGTTAGTCTTGCATGATTCTGTCCTTACAATAAGCTACTTCTAATTGTTTAATCTTGTCATGGCAATCTTTAGGTGAAATATTGAAATTTAGTCTCTCACTGCCTTTGAGCATACATTTTATGTGTTTCCTTATGACTTAGGTCATGGCGGGTCGAGAACTGCTGAGTACTTGAAGAATAACCTCTTTAAGAATTTAAGCAACCATCCAAATTTTATTACAGACACAAAATCTGCCATAGGTATGTTTGTCCCAACTCCATGTGTCCTTCATGTATTGGTTATCTTGTGATTGGATGAAGCATTTGACTGCAGCTGAAGTATTTAGACAAACTGATGCTGATTACCTCCAAGAACAAAAAGGCAATCAGAAAGATGCTGGTTCGACGGCAACAACAGCTGTTCTTGTAGGGGATAGGCTACTAGTTGCAAATGTTGGGGACTCTAGAGTTGTTGCTTGTAGAGCTGGTTCAGGTTAGATGCCTCCATATCCTCAGATTCATGAAAATTTTTATCTGTCAAAGCGTTTCCCTGAGAACTTGACAAAATAGCTTCCATATTTTTCGTATTCTGGTTCTGTTCTTTTTCCCCCTCTCTTCTTTTTAGCGTAGTACCTTTTTCACTGGGTTGGTGCTAAGCCTCACAAGTCTCTTCTACTATATATCTTTTTTTAATTGATTTACGCTGTTTCTGCTTCCAAATTAGTCAAATTACATCAAGTTTTCGCGATGTTCATGCTAAGGTAGCATTTTAAATCTAAAAGTTGTGCTTCTCTTGCACATAGTTCTACCTGTTGGTGCCCCGTAACTCCTTGATTTAATGGAACTTAAGAGTAAATCAAACTTTGACTCTTCTTTACGTGCCGAATGTATTGGACTGTCCAATATGGAAAAGATATTGGTGCTTGTTATTAATCGTCCACAATTTTGGAGGAAATGAAATTTGATTGATTTGGCTGCAGTTTCATGAGACTTAAACCATTATGCACTTCTGATGTAGATAGTTTGTCTTCTTGTCAAGATACACTTTTGATTAATATCTTGTTGCTCTGGATGTTTGCATCTACATAAAACAAACGTAAATTTTTGCATTTTCATGGTTGGTGTACTACGTTTTCTGCAGCAATCCCACTGTCCATTGATCACAAACCTGATAGGTCTGATGAACGTGAGAGGATAGAACAGGCTGGAGGCTTTATTGTGTGGGCAGGTTATTCCCATCAGTCTTCTTAGTTTCATCTTTTTCTTCTTTCTGTTGGGTTATTCGTGTTCTTTCATGTTCTGAATCAGTGTTTGTATTGACCAGGTACATGGCGTGTTGGTGGCGTTCTTGCGGTTTCTCGTGCATTTGGAGACAAATTACTCAAGCCATATGTTGTAGCCGAGCCAGAAATTCAGGTACGGTAGTTTCCTATCCTTTGATCGAGAAGCAATCTGAGTTCAAATAAGAGAATAGAAGATAGAAATGAGTGGTAAGCACAAAAGAAAGAGGAGTATTCTATGGGTAAATCAGAGCATGGCTTTTTCCAGATAGGACTGAACATTGATATGCGAGAATTCGTTAACTTCTAGTATTTCAATTGAATAACTGAAACTGACAAACCGATGAAATCTTACCAATGTTGTCTTTGTTGAGCATGAAACATAAGAGTGTTTACTTCAACTCATGACTGAGTGGTTATGTTACAAATCATCTTAAAAGTGATACAAAGTCAACCGTGAGACTAGTAAACTAACATGATTACTAATAGGACTTTAACAGAAACAAATTTACGTATAGGAGAAATCTTTTCTTGCTTTTGGCATGCCACCTCCAATCTCTGCGTGTTCTTTTGCCCACCTTATAAGTACTTCCTCCTTTTTTTTTTTGGTATATGCCTGTATCATGCCAATTGTATATCAACTTATTTTTCTCTTTTTATTAATAATTTATTCATCCGTCTCTTTTGGGCATTACCAGGAAGAAGAAATCAATGGTGTGGATTTTATAATAATTGCAAGTGATGGACTTTGGAATGTCCTGTCAAATAAGGTGAATGCTCTTCCTTGGAAAAGATTTAATTGGATTCTTGTACACTTTTACTTTGTTGTTTCCTTCCATCTTCAGCCCCCTCCAACGTCAAACATCAAGATTATACTTTCCCACCCTTACTACCTCTCTAATGCATACCACACTTTATGGATATTTTTTTGCGAATCGTAACTTTGTCCAGTTCAGTCCTTTGTAGAGTTGTTTATGATGCAAATTGAATATTCCTGGGCTCGGTTTTGTTGCACACATAGTTAGTGTCTTTATTGATAATTTATCTATTTGCATTTCTTCGTCAATACTAAAAAGTTATTTGAGTGATCATAATACAAATCCCTCTATCTTCGATCTGATCAGCAAAACTGCTCCTGAAATGGTTTTGTCGATGATAATGAGATGTATGCACGTAATATGCCAGATTAACGAAAAAACTTATTTCAGTAGAGTTGGATGTGTAAAGTACTCTACGTATGGTGCTGACTAATCTCCTTTTCGGCATTCAGGATGCAGTATCAATTGTACAGGATGTAACAGATGCAGAAGCTGCATCCAGAAAGCTTATCGAAGAGGCATATGCTAGAGGGAGTTCTGACAACATTACTTGTGTGGTTGTTAGATTTGATAACTCATGAACTTTGTGCACAGATGTGTGCAATAAAATGTGCAATTGAAACTTCTGAGCCACTCTCCCGGCACATTCATGCTGGCTTAAGTTACACCGGAAGCACCAGCTCAAACCTTTAGTGCTGCAACGAGCTCTAATGTGATGTTGCCCGTAACATTTCAAGCATGGCATAGACATTGATAGGTCCACAGACTGTAAGCCTTTTTAAAGGAATTAAATTCTCTAATTAAAACTTGATCAGTCCTTTGTACCGCTTGTTATACTAGTTTTCTTAGGAGCAAATGTAGTTTGGGATCTTAGTGTAGTCATTTGTGGGGGACTTTAGTCGGCTGAGGGTTCTCTTCACCTTACATCATACTCCCTCTGTCTCATAATTATTGTCTACTTTGTCCAAAAAATTGTCTCAAAATTATTGTCCAATTTGACTTTTTATGGATCAAATTACACATTTGTCCTTAGTAAAAAACATTATTCATAAAATCTTTGTGGTTAAATAATTACTAATGTAAGGGTATATCCGGTTATTCAAGGTAAAATATAGTTAAGTTTAACTAAAAATAAAATTTTTCATTTTAGTAAAACTAAACAATAATTATGGAACGGAGGGAATATATTTTATTGGTTGCACCCAGAACTCAATCATTGCAACTTGTGGTTAAACAAAGCAAACGTACATGGAAAAAAAAAAAAGAGAGAAATTTTACCGAAACACGATAGGATGAATCAATATAGTAGTCGAATGATGCCGAAATGTATGCAGACAACTTTGTATTGACTATTGACACTCCAGGAAATCTTTGATGATTACCCCTGCTGTCTGTGTTACTGCCATGTCAAATCATTTTTTCATAAACTCACATCTCTATCATTACTAATTACTAAAAACTTACAACACAGCGATCACAATGAAGTAAAATCAAACCGATAATGAACGGAAAGTGCAATATAAGAGTTCTGTTGTGAAAGATGAAAATTCTATTTTGTTTCCTTTTATCACTCGAAGTTGACAAGAATTACAAGGGGCAAGTTAACAGCTCCAAGAAAGAAAACAGAGGAGTTTCAGCAACAGCCACTGGTTGAGGCATCCGATTCTGGAGGTTTCTGCTTAAATATATTCTTCTTCACACCGACGGAGCCCTCGGCCAGGAGACTAGGTGTATCCAAGATCTTCAGAAACAATATGAACAAAAGAAACATTAATACATGACCTTAATGCTACAGATTGAACAAAAATTCAAACTTAATCTTCTCAAATTCCTATGATATTCACGCAGAGAGAAATGATATGTTGGGAATGGTTTGAAGGGAAAGACAACTTTCTGCAACTGACGCTTAGCAGTACGATTTTATTAAAGTGTAGATTTGACTGAATTTAGTTACATGCATAGGTCAAACAAAAGACACGAAGGGCTAATGAATCATACCTTTAGTACCAGTTCCTCAAAGCATTGCTCCACATTAGTTCGAGTTTTAGCACTGCATTCAATGAACAGGCAACCATATTCCCTAGCAAAGTTTATTCCTTCTTTCTTGCTAACAACTCTTTCACTTTCCTGTCAACAAAAATTGGAGCAAAAATTATCTCATCAACAGAATACCACCTGACTAAGATGTACAGTTCTACTTAACCTACTGCTAGAACACCAAAAACTGAGTCGAATAGTACTAAATATACAGGAATAGAGTGCTTGATGCCACTGATTCAATGAGAAATGGGAACACAAAGATCTATGAATAGATAAATGGGACTTGATCCAACTCCATCATCTTAAAAAACAAATGCAAGTCCTGATACCTTGTCAACTTTGTTGCCAACAAGCATCTTGATACAGTCTTGATTTGTTGAATACAAGTCGATCTCTTTAGCCCATATATCAGAGAGATTAGTGAATGTTTCTCTACGAGTGACATCGTAAACTGCAATAACATAAAGACCTGGTTTAAGTATAGCTACAAGAAAGTCTTGAGAAAAATCAAGGAATAGCTACCATCAGTTTCTAGAGACGAAAAGGAAACAAAAAAGATGTATACAGCTGCAAACAACAAATTATGCATGTAATAGACTGAGTACTCAGAATCAGAATCAACTACAAAGTATCAGAGCATCAATACTACACGTTGATATGTAACTTTTCTAACACTGGTTTTCATTTCCATCAAGTATGCCGAAATAGTGATGCAAGAAATATATACAATGGACATATTATAAATAAGGTGCACTTCCCACAATCAAACTCAGGCAAAAGAAGCAAATATTCAACTTCCAACGTAGATAAGAACTGCTTCAACATCAAAACGAGGAGGAAACGTACCCATAATAATTCCTTGAGCTCCTCGGTAATAAGAACTGGTCAATGTTCTGAATCTTTCCTGACCAGCTGCAAGAAAAGCCACCATGTACATTAAGAATCCAGGCAAAAGAGCAAAATTAACAACTTTTAATAACACGTTTCTTGTTCTGATGACGTATTATGGAAATAGCATTCATGCACCACCGATATTTCCCAATAAGGGAACTGCACCAGAATGTCACCAAATGCATTATCCACAACAATGGAACAGCCGGCAGTAGAGAATAAGGTGATGATACGATTTTCGCTATCAATATTTTCAATTTAATTCAGATGTCCAACCTTACAAGAATTTAATTCAGATGTCCAACCTTACAAGAATTTTAAAATATGGGACGCAAAGATGTATCAGTTAAGAGACTTAACAACAAGTGAGATCACTGATTCAACGAACATGATCTGACCAAATACCACAACACTATGAAATTGTTATATTTTAGGAAGTTTAAATTGGAAATTAGATACTGATGCCTCGTATAACTTAACTTTTCAAAAAATTTACCTGTATCCCAGATGGCAAGCTTCAATTTCTTTCCCCCATGGGTGACATATTTTACTTTGAAATCAACCCCTGCAAAACAAATAAAAGGGAAACCGTCAGATACAACAATAAAACATATGCTATCTTGGCATCTCCCTCTTTGGCTAAGCATAATGGACTTCATTCAAATTCCCATATGTCGAATCACTAATCATTTGTTCGTTTACAATCAACTACATTACATAACACATCAATTCCACTAAACTGCACCTCCCTGTTACCAGAAAAAAAAACTCAAAACCTAATAAGGTTGGGTAAAAAATAATAACCAGATGGATCTCCATCAACGTTTCGAGACTATTTGTGAAGCAATAATAACTAGAAAATTTGGTTAAGAAACCACTTCATCTGAAGCTTAATGTAAATAAATGCATGGTTATTGCAGGCTTTCTAAAGATTACACAGGCTAGGCTCAACTTAGCGAGGCTTTCTAAAACTACACTTGCAGAGATGCAATGCAGAAAAACAAACGAGGCACGCCATTTGGAATGACTGGCCCCACTGGAAAGTTTTTTTGTGGTAAATTGCTTGAATCCAAATACCAAAGCAACAATCAAAACTTGAAATAAAATTTTCATACTTTAGTCCTCTTTCCAAGACTTCTATCCTTTGGCTCATTTTACAGCCATAGTCCTGATCGGAGAATGAAATGAATGACTTGATCATCCAACTTAATGGTCATTTTGTCATTAATAGAGATATAGCAGGTGAAACAATATTTTATTCAGGATGCAGTTCTCCTATAAATGCGATCACTTCACTAGAAGTTTTTTTGGTTCTCAGACTGAAATCAAGCTCTTGAAGTCACTTTCAGCAACAAACTCAACAGCAACAAAAACTAACCTTTATCCCGTTTTATTGTAATGCGCATTCACATACTAACTGGCAGTGAAAGACACCAACAGACTCCACAGCAACAAAAACTAACCTTTACCCTGTTTTATTGGGGCCAGCTATATAGATCACATTTACTGAACAATAAAGAATGTCTACCAGCTCAATAAACCAAAATTTTATTTGTCCAAACTTAAGGCATATAATGGCCTCCTCCCTCCCAATTCTCTTTTCACTTTGCATTTAAATAGGTTCAAAACAGACCACGATTGGTGCAGACAGTATACAACACACCAATCCAAAGATGATCATATCACTAAAAATAATAAGCCATGAGAACTTTTGTGAGGGTTGAAAAGTATGCACCCTTGTCCAACAAACATAAGATAAATTGACCTGAAACCAATTAATCAGCAAATATGCCATAATCCACGTGCATTTAAAATGGGTTTGAAACACTATAGAATAACAAACATTCGACCAATTCAATAGGCTTCAAAGGAAAATTTTTGTTTTAAAACAGGAACTATCTTGCAGAGGTCCATGTAACATGTAAGGTTCCATAATTCTGCTGTTTCTGCTGACGATATCCCTCTATTTCTCACTCTCTTTATACTTCTTCATATTTTGAAAGAGTTCAATCCCATGACTAACCAACAACAACCTAAAACAAACACAATTGCATGAAATTTATGCTAGATTATACATCATTCAGCAACTCCAACATTCTCCTAAAATCCAACCTTCCCATCCAAAAGCTTAACAATACGTGGACATTCAGATCAAAACTTCAAAGACAAAAAATTAGTATTACCTATCGTAGGAGAGAGATCTTCGAAGGTATCTGAAGTAAAGCTGAGCAAAAGACTGCTTTTTCCTACTCCGGAATCCCCAATCAACAATAACTTGAACAAATAATCAAATTCTTGCGCGGAGGACGATGAAGACGATGCCATCTCCACGAACCCTGATTTTTTTTCCCCCAAATCGAAAACACCAATGAGAAGAACAAACATAGTACAAAGAAAATAATAAGAATAAATAGCGAATTCATAAGGTAAAGATTAACATCAACAACATAGTACCTCAATGCGACCCGAACAATCACTTTATCGTGCGTAAGACTGAAAATATAGAGAGAGAAAGTGAGATTTATGCTGGGATTCTTTCTGCTAGGCAAGATTCGGTTTATTTGATCTATATTATACTTTCTTTATAGATTAATTAATACTAATAATCAAAAGGTGGGGAATTGGGAAGAACCCGAAGAGGTTGCCGAAAGGTGAAGAAAGTTTGAGAAAGGCGAATTATGAAAAAAGCCTTTTTGTTTTGTTTTTTTCTTTTTCCCCCTTTTATTTTCCGTACGTTTGAAGAGTTGGTATTAGGCCACGGTTCAGAACCCAGATCCGGTTAATGAATAGTCAGTTCACGGTTTAGAAAATAAATAAACCTTAACCGACCTTAAGTTTCCAGTTCGTAAATTTTCAGTTCAGATTCTGTAATGGTTTATCAACGATCTTATTCTGGTATGTTGACAGTTTAGATCTGGTTTGCGATTTTAATCCCACTTTTGTATGGTTCTGATGCAATTTGTTATCGTTTTATTTTTTCGCAGAAGAAAAAGAAAGAAAATGATTGAACAAATAAAAAAATGTAGTAAAAAAAAGTGAGATGTGAAAATTATGTATTCCTTGGTGATTTTAGAAAAAAAATTCATATAAAAATTGTCTAACTTTTTAAAGAAAACTTATTAAAATTCAAAAAACATGCATACAACAATACAAATATTATAATCATACTATGCTAACAGTACACAAAAACTATATGAACAATTTTTTTAGTTAAATAAATATAGGTCGATATCTGCGGATAACCCTTCATTTTATTAATCAAACAATTAAGTAAATAAGATATTACTTTAATAATTACTGAAAAAGATAAATCTTATAAGTAATAAAAAATAATGAATATCACATTGAAAAAGAAAATTAGATGAGGCCAGCGAGAATCGAATCCTCGACCTTTTAGTAATAACTATCCACATTCTAATCCTCTAACTATCTCACCTTCTAATTAAAAATTACATAAAAATCACAAATTTTTATAATCTTTTAATCAAACTGGTGGTTAATCCACGGGCTATGACGGTTAAAACCACCATTCAAAACTGCCAATTTAAACCGATGATTCACGGTTTATTAAATGGTTGAACCATAACCAGTGTTTGACTAGACGGTTCGATTACAAATTCATAAATAGCCTTCCATAATTTTGGTCTAGTTTATAATTCGATGAGCCAGTAATAATTAAAATCTGAATCGTAATCATGCCTAGTTAGTATAAAGTTGATCAATAGTTTAAATCAATAATCAAAAATAAATAATCAGAAATATGTACACAATCTTTTACATCTTAAATAAGAGTAGATAACATTTGGTGCAATAATACTATGATTCATCTCTCCTAAAAAAATTACTCATAGTTTTATAAACAATTTTGTCACAAAAAAGTTCAATTTCATGAAGTCAAAATCAAATACTACTAAAATGACTAAACTATCCTTAGTAGTTTTGCATTATTTTTTTCTTTACTTAAAATTGTAAATTACTTTTAATCACCAATAAAATGACATATTCACATCTGTTCTTTGCACATCTGCTCTAGCTATTCTATTGCGTTTCATTTTATGAAAGAATCTCTTCTAATGCTATATAATACTCTAATTTTAACTTCATATTGCATCTTACTAAAAATTATTAAACTATTATTAAAAAATATTTAAAAAATAATAAAATTAATTTTTTTAATATATTGTATTAATCTTTTTCTACCTGTGAACCCGTCCTACCTCTACCTCTTTCTCTTCTTTCTTTCACTTTTATTCCCTCAGTTAAACTCCATTCTCAACCCCCTCCTTTCATTTTCAACCTGCACCCTGTATTCGGCTCCCAAAAATCCAAATGCCACCCATCATGACAAACCAAAAAAATTATGCGCTAAACCATGGAATTAGGGTTCATGAGCGAATTCGGGGCTTTTTAGAGATTGATAGGGTTCGACCAAGGGATAAAAGGGAAAGGAGAAGGAAAAGAAGCGGGATCAGGTGGGTCCTTCGAGGAAAAATAATTAGGACTTCAGATTTTATTTTGAAAAAATAAAATTTGAATTTTTCTTTTTAAAATAATTTTAATTGTTAAGAAATTTTATTTAAATATTATTGATATACTCCCTCCTTCCCACAAAAATAGTCCAGTTTAATAAAAAAGTTTGTCCCTAAAAAATAAACTATTTTCACAAAAGTAAAAATTAATTGAATTGAAATGACTTAAATATCCAAAAGAGTAGTGGTAAGGAAAACAAGGTCTACTTCGTTTGATTTTTATTTTTTTTTAGTTTTCTCTCTTTTTTTAAATGATTATATCTTTTAATACATGGAATAATTAATAAATGTGTTATATATAAAATTAATCTATGTAACGAGATCTTTCCATCAAGATCCATTGTCAATATTTTTTGAGATAAAATTTTTTATCAAATTTAAGTTGTAAAATAAATGCATATGTAGTTAACTTTTATAGAAATAACTAGAATGGGTATTAGTGGAAGTTAGGGGAATAAAATGAGTTGTACATTTGGTGTTTTGACCAAATTAAAAAAGTTGTACTTTTTCAAACTGGACTATTTTTCTTGGACGGAGGGAGTATTATTTTTCAAATTATTTATCAAATTTCAAGTTTTTATTTTTGAAAAATTAAAAATTATGAAGTATCAAAAATACATCTGTTGACTTAATTAAAAATTGGTTAGCCTGAAAACCTCGAAATGTAAAGTGTGAAGAAAGTAAAAAGGACCAAATTAGTTAGAAACACATATGTAACAGACCAAACTAGCAAACAGTTGATATTATGAATTAAATAAGTTTGTTTTGGTAAATATAAAAGACCATTTACGTAGATTATTCGTCAGATTAATGAGAAAAAAACTTTGATTTTATTTTGTCAAACGTCATGTTAGATTAATAAATAGCCAAATGAATCCACATTTGGTGTGTCGGAGAAAAAAAAAGTTGCCATTCCTGTGGTTATACAGAATTTGCCATCGAAAAATCTGTTCGCAACAGAAACTGAGCAGCATCAACAAGTGGTACCCAAAGCACTTGCGCTAGTGACGGTCCCGCAGGTACAAGCTTCCCCAGCGACTGTGTCTAATCGTTTGCAATGCTGGAAATGATTAGCGAAATTGTTACTTAAACTCAGGAAGATAAGGACGAGGAGAATGTTGAAGTGGTCTATCAGGAGGATCCTCCGCGACTGAATAATGATATAAAGAATTCAAAACTTGGAAACCTAGCTTGGATGAGATCCAACAAGCACTGTTGCTCTTGGATAACGATAAAGTTTTGCCTGTGGGCAAGTTCTCTTGTGATGGCGAAGTTGGAAGGAGTACTGAAGATTGTGAAGCTGCTGGCGTTGATCAGGGTAGTTGGTCAGAAGGGGATGTAGAGGAAGATAATACTATAGAACATGAACTAGCGCAAGGGATGGTTTCTCCCACAAGAGGCATGGTCGAAGAACTAAAGCTGAAATGGCTAAGATGCAGGAAGGATTGATCCCACGAAGATCACCAAGACAGCAATAGAACTGCCTTTCATCCTTCTCAATTGTTTCAATGATAGGTCAACTAATATGGAACATCAGAGGCATTAAACAACAAACCTCTCAGCGCCGTTTGAAAACCTTAATAAGGATGCATAAGGTTTCGATCCTTATGATCATGGAACCAATGCTGGAGGGGAATAAGCTTGATGAAATAAGGGGAGAGTTAGGATTTTAATCAGCTTTATCATTAGAAAATAGCAAAATATGGGTCTTTTGTGCAAAAGAGGTTTCAGTTTCTTTGCTTGATACCAATGATCAGGTACTACACTTTGAGGCATCGCACGTCTCGGTTCCTAAAAAGTTATATTTTTCAGCGGTGTACGGAAAGTCAAGCAGGTTGGAAAGGCAGTCTGTGGCAAAGTATGGTGGATTTTAGACATAAATATTTGAACTCTCATTGGATGATAGGAGGGGACTTTAATGCAATTCGCTCGCTGGATAAATACTCTGGGATCTCAGTACAAGATAATGTTGCAATGACGGAGTTTAATGAATGTATTGAGGTGTGTGGTTTGCTGGAATTGCTATCTATTGGGGAAGAATATACATGGGGGAACTAGAAGTACATGCTGGACTTGCAAGAAGCTAGATAGGGTTTTGCTCTCGAAAGAATGGCACGATTATTTCCTAGCATCTTCTTTTGAGAATTTAAATCGTACAACATCTGATCATTGCCCAATTTTGCACCTGTTTCCAGTACACACAGAGAGTAAACCATGGGTCTTTCGCTTCCAAAGACGTGGCTGTGGAGAACTGAGTTTAAAGCCATGGTTAAGGACTGTTGGGATCAGCCTCTAGAACAATATGGAATGCTTGGTTTTTCTCTTAAACTCCGGTGCTTGAAGGTTAAGTTGAAGGCGTGGGATAAAGAAACCTTTGCGGATGTGTTCGGGAACCTAAACGTTGCTGAAACAAGTGTCCAGCAGCTAGATATTTGTATGATTCCTCAGGGATGGAACGAGATAGAATTCATTTGAATGCTACCATAGCGACCTTACTTCAGAAACTAAAGGAGCATGAATGTTTCTAGATTCAAAAGATGAGAACTAAATAGATAAAGGAAGGGGATGCAAATACGTCCTTTATCCATGCATCCTTGAAGGAACGTAGAATGGAACCTTCCTCAATGTTTATGAGCAGGCTTTGGGTCAGAAAGTTTACCACCAAAAGAGCTCTTTCATGGTAGCTGATAATTGTAACGCAAGAAGGATTGGTGTTATTTATAGAACCTTAGGTATTCATAAGGGATCATTGCCCTTTGTATACTTAGGGTGTCGTTTATACCATGAAAGACGCAAAGCTGCCACCTTTCAATTCTTGTTGGATAGTATACATGGATGCCAAAACTTCTTAGCTATAAAAACAAGTTATTAAGTCCTGGAGGCCATCTAATTTTAATAAAACATATATTGTCTTCCATACCAATCCATGTATTCTCAGCTCTACCACTGCCAAATTTGACACTACCTGAAATGGAGAAGAAGTGTCAACGGTTCTTGTGGAGCGCCACAACCGAGGATAGTAGGCGGCATTGGAGGTCTTGGAAGAGGCTTATATATCAAGTTTCAGAGAATGGATTGGGGATATGAGATTTTCAAGGGATCATTGATGCATCGATAGTTAAGCAATGGTGGAAATTCAAGAAAAAAAGGGGATTGTGGAGTAAATTGATAATATCATTGTCTAATGTAGCAAGGAGGAAAACATCTTGGAGTCAAAAGAAGGCAGTAAAGTATACCAAGATCATTATCTGGGAGGTGACAGTTCATTTTGGTTTGATAATTGGTCGCAATATGGAGTAATTTGGGATATAGATCAGCAGCGCTCTCCTCTTCCCGACCTTACCATCAGGGAGTTTTTTTGC